GCCCTCTCCCCCTCGTCTCTGGACGCTCTCTGACCTTCCTGCCCTCAAGTCGGGCGTGTCCCTCTACAGGAGGAATATTCAAAAATAGCAACAAATAATCAGGGGAAGTTTTTCTCTACTATTTCCCGACCATCCTGTGGTGTTGGGTCCTCGTTTTGAAGAGACGGTCCCCGAGTTCCTCCTCTCTCCTCCCCCTCCTCCCTCCTCGCTGCGTTCCCCCCACCCAGTACTGCGTTTGGTGGCCCCATAGGGAGCTTCACCGAAGGCCCCAATGGGGGTACCCGCATGCGTCCGCCACACTCGTGGCCCCATAGGGAGCTCCACCGAAGGCTCCACTGGGGGTGCCCGCATGCGTCCGCCACACCCAAAACAACGTTTCGTGGCCTCGTAGGGAGCTGCACCGAAGGCCCCGGTGGGGGTGCCCACATGCGTCCGCCACACCCAGTACTGCGTTTCGTGGCCCCATAGGGAACTCCACCGAAAGCCCCAGTGGGGGTGTCCGCATGCGTCCGTCACACCCAGTACAGCGTTTCATGGCCCCGTGTGGAGCTCCACCGACGGCTCCAGCGGGGGTGACCGCATGCGTCCGTCACACCCAGTACTGCGTTTCGTGGCCCCATAGGGCTCCACCGAAGGCCCCAGTGGGGGTACCCGCATGCGTCCGCCACACCCAGTACAGCGCTTCGTGGCCCCATAGGGAGCTCCAGCCGAGGTCCTAGTGGGACCGCCTGCATGCGTCCCCCCCGCCCAGCACAGCTTTTCGTGGCCCCAGATTGGGGCTCCACCGAAGGCCCCAATGGCATCGCCCGCATACGTCTCCACAACCCACTACAGCGCGTCGTGGCCCCACAGGGAGCTCCACCGAAGGCCCCAGTGGGACCAGCCGCATGCGTCCCCCCCACCCATTATACCGCACGCCCCATCACGCGTTTCGTGACCCACCGGAAGCGGCACCCACAACGCATCTGCATATGGTTGGGTGCGTCGCCAGGATAATTTTGACTACTTTTGAATAGTTTCGATGATTTAAAACTTTCTTCCAAAATCCGCCTGCAGGGGGACATGCCCGACCTAATCCTACCCCCCTGTCCAAAAAGGCGTGGGCCGAGGGCAGGCGGGGTTGAAGCCTCGCCCCCTGCTCGAAAACAGGGGGGGCGTCGAGTCGTCCCCAGTCCTTGCGCGCCGGCAACCGCTGACGAAAACGCGACGACGCCGTTGACGACAACGACGCTGGCGCGGACACCGACGACGACGTTGGCGATGACGAAGCTGACGCTGTTGACTACGACGAATCTTGTACCATGGACGAGCGAAAACTGCATCGAACGTCCCGCCCGCCCGCCAGCTTCCGCTGTCCCACCCGTCGTCGTCGCTGTCATTCTCCTTGCTCTCTTCCCCAAGTAGAGCCTGCACTTAGGGGTTGTGCCTCATGTGAGCCTGGTGATCGGAGGGGTTTGTCGGAGCTTCGCCTGGTTGGACAAGCGCGTTCCGCTGCTCGCAAAGTGACTACTCCCCAAGGAGGGCTTGCACTTAGGGGCTGTGACTCGTGTGAGCCTGGTGATCGCAAGGGTTAGTCGGGGTCTGGCCGTCCGTAGAGGCCTCCTAATTAGATGGGACAGGGGTAGATTGGGTCGAGGGATCGCGCCGCATCGCCGATACATCGGCGATGCATCGACGATGCATCGACGATGCGTCGGCGACGTCGGCGACGCATCGGCGACGCCAGCGTGGACAAAATCGGGCTCCACATCGAGCCGCATCCTTGATGCATCGGCGATACGGCGTGATCCCTCCGATCCCTTCTACTCCGACACCATATGGGAATCTTAGATGGTTTGGACGCCCGACATGGGTAC